AGGTTTTAATTACTGCATCTTTCTAAGGGGGGAGGGGAGGAAATGCCTCTCAAAGCACTGAAGTATTTCCTGTAGGCTTTGCTCCGTTACGTCGAAGCCTTGAAAGAGTCTCCGAGACACGTTTCTGCCGAGAGACTTCTTTTCTATTTCCTTTTCTTTCTTTCCTGTTTTTAAAGTATTAAGAACTAGTTTTAAAGGACTTGTTTGATGGACACACTGAATCATATCACAGTAGTAAGAGCCACTGTTCTTTCTAATCAAATTACCAAAAAGGCTTTTCACAAAAGTAACTCTCTCAAGCAGCTGATTAATGAAGTGGTGCCACTGTTTTGTATTATAATTAATTGAAGTAATACAAATAACTTCTGTAGCCTGTGGAAATTATCTCCTTTGCAAAGCAGTCTAATAGAGTTAGCAAACTAGAAGGGGGAGTTTTTTGTGTGGCTTTTTTGTTTAATTTCTTGTTGCCTTCATCATCCATAAAACCATAGGTGACACAATGGAAAACAGTAAATGACAAAGAATACAGAATACCAGCACCACAGAGAGGGCTTGAAGAACTGGGAGAAGGTCAGGTGCAGAAGAAAGCAGAAGGTCAGGAAAAAAATGAGAATGCAGAAAAGATTTAAAGGGTCACGAGTGTGGTGGGACTACAGAAGAAGTATAGGAATTTGGGAGATGCCAAAGAGTAAGTAAAAAGACCTCAACCTACTGTAGAGGAATATGAGTAATCTAAAAAGCATTGAAAAAGCATTGACCATCACATCTTACTTTGGTTAATGCAGGAATTCACAACGGTTCAAAGGAAATTAATCTCAGTAGGGGCATCTAGTTTTTCTGGGCTGTTCAAATGTACACTTTCAAGATATAGAGGTTTTACATGCTGCTTAAAAGGTGTTTAGTAGCATAGCACTGTATCTAGATACGTAAAACATCTTTAGTTCAGTCTTCTACTACCTTCCTGTTGTGAACTTCCGACCACTTTTCCTTCTGTTTATTTTTCCCTTTTTCCTTTCCCCAGACTTTTTTTTACCTGGATTCTCTAGGTCACCAAGCCCGGTCACTTAGCTGCTGACTGGATTTGAAGGGTTGATGTGTTAGCCACCCTGCTAACAGGATGGAGGAGAACGAGGCATCTCAACTGCAGTTCCTTGGGCTGTAACCTAAACCAGCTAGCACTGAGGGAGGGAGGGGCCTTCTGATTTCAGCTCCTAGATGCAGCTGCCACCAACCTTTCTTCCATTACAGAAAAGCTGGTGAGAGAGAGTGCATCTTAAGTTGCACTTAACTTAACTCTCTTAACTCCTCAGGTGGTGTGTTGAGGGTGGGAAGATGGTCACGGTCCCCTTTTTTTCAGGTCCCCTTACTTTCAGAGAGTTGAGCTTTGGCATTTCTAAAAAAGAGAATGAAAGGTGGACACTGGTAATTTTTGCACTCTCTCTGTGCAAGATTAAGAAAACCAAGTTCAATTCTCAGTTCTTGCCAGAAGGGTTGCAAACCTGTGCCGCCTTCTTCTGGAAAAATCCCCTACTCACTGACTATGCCGTTGCAGAGTGGGGGAGTTGGGACTATTCTCTGCTTGAATTTCACTTTGGTGTGGAAAAAACGCATCAGGGCTTGCTGGGCCAGAGAGAGGTGGAGGGAGCACACGAGGGGGCCCTGCTCCGGAGATGAGTTTTTAGGCATTTGTGAGATGGGAGAAGAGGTGGTGCTGTCCTTCAGTCCAGTGTCTTATTCAGACATCGGCAGCTGTAGGGACAAGACAAACGCCAAGCTAGTCGTTGCAGTCAAGCAGAGTGGACTTGGGCACGGGGGAGGCACGGCTGACCTTCAGGAACTCCAGAAATATGAATGCATTGCGTCTGCGGAGTCTCCTTTCCTGATGTATACACTAGTGAGCGTTCCTTGGCATGTGTGGTAGCTGAGTGAGGTTATTTGCTTTTCATGACTGAGCATTTTGTACCCTAGTTTTGTGCTTCGTCACAGGAAAATTAGCTTTTCCGGTGTTTGCAATTCACCAGTTCTGTTAAGAAGACACCATCAGTTTCCTATTACGTTATCTGTGTGACCTTAAATTCTTCTTGGAATGGGAAGTTGGAGATTCGCAGTTGGCCTCCTGATGCTACAGGAAGCAATTCTGCAACCGTATTAAACTTAGATTTCTTTAAATTAATGTTTTGTTGGCCAAGCACAATGAATTTTTTTAATTATATCTGTTATTTTTATAGTAGAAGCTTAATTTTTATGTCAAAGGAGTGAATAACTGTGCTGAATGCAAATTATATACCTTTGGTTCCTTCATCTGTTTATTACTGTTTTAAATGCAATTAAAAAAAAAAAAGTTTGGTTGCAGTTTGGAAGCTGTCAAAGAAGCAGGCTTATATGCTGAAGTCAGTTCTTAAAGAAATCAAACATCATGGAACAAGTAAGAACTTCAAACTAGAGTTTTATTTTCATGTACTCACCATTCAGTCTTTCATGGGAAGAATGAATAAATGATACAAGTTTAGCCCAAGTTCTTACCGTAATGTTAGGGGTGTCAGGTTTTCTTTACACAAAAAATTCACCATTAAAAGTAAAATATTATTTGGGTCTGAAGTTTTAGAGATTTGGCTTTTCACCCTTTTTTTGAGCCTACAGATTGTCAGAAATTAAGGAACTATAAGAAGTGACTGTATAAGTAATTGCTAAAGTCCTTTTAAATTTAAGGTACCTCTTCCTTGGATTCATAAGTATGCTTAATATTCATACTTAATTGCATGAAAATCTTCAAAGTCTTTTGTTTTCCACCAATTACTAATTGTAAGATGTGACAGGAAGCTGAAGGGAAGAAGGTACTAGCACATTATCCGTTAAAAAAAAATTTTGTGTGTATATATATATATATATATATATATCTGTGTGTGCATGTATACATTTTTACATACTGATTTTTGTATTTTCTTTATCCATTTAAGCAGTGACTTTCAATTAGCCTGCCTACTAATATCAGGTCACTAAACTCTATAGCTGATGCTTTATTCTTTCATGTGAGTTGTCATTCGTTTGCTTCAGTTGGCTGGCAAAGGTTGTTGTATATCCATTACCAGCAACACAGCACTTTGCATTTCTGAATTGACAAGCAGCTATATTGACCTAGCGCTTATTATGGGTCAACAGCTGCGTTAACCGACGGAAGGACTGAGGGGCAATTAAAATGAATTGGCAAAAATATATCTTCCTAATTTACTCCAATTTGTTATTTATGCTAACATTGTATGGCTTCTATGGTGACACTAAACAGAATGGACCCAATAATGGCAATTAACATAAAAATATAATGGCTAATCAAATTGACAGCAACTGTTTCTCATCATCTCGACACACAATACATTATCAAAACAAACTATTATGAAGGAGGTAATTTCAGTGTTCTATTCAACCTGCTTCATGTGTGCAGTCAGGGAGATGTGTACCAGCAATTACAGCTGAATCTAAAAAACTAAACAAATAACTTAATCGCTGTCGTCCTCCTTTTTTCTTCTTCAGGAAGCAGTAATCAGGATTTACTAAAAATAACTGGTGTATAATAGTATAATGATGATGCATATCGTAGAATAGCTAATAAGGAGTAAAATAAGCTTCTGTGTGTCTTTTTTTTTAAAATAGGTTCACATGAAGTGGAAAAAAGTATGCTGTTAAAATATATAAAAAATAACTAAGCAGTAGTAATAGTTGTCAAATATCTCAACGTGAGTTGCTTAACAGTTACAGATACTTTATAACATCTCAGTAGAAGTCTAAAATTAGCTGAATTTAGTAACAAAACTTGGCTTGATTGGGTAGAAGAGTGAACAGCTAAGTTAAAGCAGAATTTCAGTACACAGAAATAGTTTACCAGTTGCTTTTCCACTGCATTTTCAGGATCATTCCTTGTGGTGTACTGAGTCACAGTTTTACATTGGTCTAACCACGTTCTTCGTTGGTTTTGTAGCTCATCTAGAAAATCGTCAAGAGTTTGTACATATCTACCTATGTACCAAATGTATTAAAATGGACACTCCTTCCACGTTTGATGCTGTTACGCTTATCTCATTCTTAATTAAGATTTTTGTAATGCACAACTCTTCCAACCATTGTTGGCCAATATTTGAACTCCAGTATCTTAAACAGCAGGGACTGGAATGTGGTTTTATTAAACAAGACTACAAGAAGATTAACTTGAAAGTGTTTAGTTGTGTCGTGGGCAAGATGGATCTCATGTCTGTTTGAGCAATCTTCGAGTGCACAGAATGGCGACAGTGATAGGGATGCATACGGGCACCTACTCTTGGACTAGAGGAATGGCACAGAGGCTTGACACCACTGACATTCAGGGCATTTAATTGACTATCATATTCCACATGTACACACCTGGAGGTTTTTGAACTAAATGTGTGATTACTAACATACAGTAGCCTTCACAGATGTGTGGGGCGAGATGATGACGTAGCTGTAAAGGTATATATGCACCTGTTCTTATTTGAATGGCATGTTCACAATTTATGCAACCACAGCTGCGTGTGTGTGGGAAGGGAGGGAATACGCCTGTATTCATCAAAAATATACGTTAATTCTTTTTCTTTTTTGAGATCATTGTATTGTGCAATGTACTAAAGCACTAAAGTTACTCCTTTGTCCCATCATTCTTGTGACTTTCATTTTGTTGCTAAAGCATCATTGTGATATGTGTATCTATAAGAATGGATAAATACAATTTATGTTTCTGTAAGAATGGATATATTTAGTATGATTTATATAAATGCTTGGTGTAAATTGTGAGAAAAAGTGTAGAGATGTAGTAAAGAGATTTTGCAGCATCATAGTAGTAATAATAGTTCCAAAATCTGATGTGAATGGAATGTACAAACTGTTAAGAAAAAAAAAAAAAAAACAGAAAGAATCACCTTTTGACAGTTGGAATGGGTGCAATAGATGCACTTTTAAGTTGGGTTTTTAATTACTGTCTTCTTATGTTACAGTATTCTGATAAGGCCCTGTACACTCAGCTCTGCTTTTACCGGTACATTTTTGATGTGGACTATGCGTTAGATAAAGTGATTGCTGAAGATAAGAGAGGTAAGTTTAAATTTTTAATGAATTAACTATAGTTTAATAGCATGTTACATGCTAGAAACTAGAGCTATACATGCACGTTTGTACTCTTCAAATCTGAATTATGAGGCTGTAATCTAAAACAGAAAATAGAAGAACGTATGAATTTAGGAATCCCCTGTTAGAGGAATGTATTGTGTTGGAATTAACCACTTTAAGAATATATTATATGTCTGCTTTCTTCTTTGGAAGCGACTGCACTTTGGAAAAAGTGCTTTTCTTGCATGTTACACCATTAGAGAAATCTCTTTGCTTGAAGTTTGAAGGACACATCAACTTCAGTAAATAGATTAATTAAAATACATGTATACAATATCTAAAAGAAAAGCCAGTTAAAACTTATGTTCATCTATTAATATTTAAGAAACACTTCTTATCAGGGAGAAAATGATGGCACAAGTAATGCTAATTGTCTACAAAGCTCTCTTAAATATACAGATTAAGCTAATGTTAGGAAGATTTTTTTTCCTTCTCTTCTTCCAATTACCACAACGTTTCTGAACTGAAACATTTCTAAGCTGTAATGGATCCACGGGTTTTGTGCAGCTAGGTGATTTTCAGGCTGACAGAAGAGTATATCTGAAGGTGGGCTAATGCTTGGCCAACTTGGATTCTGAATAAAGCCATGTTTGGGTCCCACCATTGAAGTCCCACCTTTTATTGCCATTTTTCCTGAGTTTTTAAAGACCAGTTGTTCTTCTTTCTTGTAGTTTCTCTTTATTCTTAATAACAGCTTTAGGTTGTTACTCATCTTGGAGTATTCTTCTATAGAAAGAAAGATTTTTCAATGGCTTCATATTCAAGATATAAATGTGTTTTCCACTGTAGTTTGAAAGAATTTGTGTCTTTTTTTATTCAGAACCTTGAGATTTCGTTACTAGTTCACTTGCCTTTTCTACACTTGCCTCTTCAAAATACAGAACATTAATTACAGAACAGGTTTTGTTTGTTCAGCTATTTATATGGAAGGTCCATACTATTTATTGGTATGGAATCTAAAATAATAATTGTGATGTCAGTGGGAGTTCAAAAAGACATTCAACCTGCTCCCTTTCCCTGCAAGAGGATCAATACCATAGCCTACTTTTTAAAGATAGGCTAAATTTAAAAAATCTCTGGTGATACAGGTTCTACAACTTGTCAGGTTTTACAACCAGTTTCTCCTGGTGCTTCACTGTACTTACTATAGAGAGCTCTTTATATCCAAGATAAATTTTGCTTTCTGAAGCTTATTCTCTGCACAATGAATGATAGAATGTTTTCTTTCTCTTAGAGTTTTACACATTTAAAACCTGTATGCTATCATCTAAATCTTTCAACTACAAACCTGAAGTTTTTGGAGGAACAGGGGGAGAATTCTCCACTTCTCTGCATGTTTGGTTTTTTTTAATAGACCTTCAATAGGTCAGATCTTTCAGAGTGGAATACAGCAGAAGGATTAATTGACATGTTTTGCAGACCATTCTTTTGTGTATTTATACCAGTATGGTGTTTACAACATTTGCAACGACATTGTTCACTCATGTTTAATTTGTGATCTGCTGTAATCACTGTGTACTGTTGTTGGTCCATCTTTTCCCTGTAAGAATCAAAAATAAGCTGGTTGGTCTGCATCATGCTTTATTGTTCGATGACTGGTGAAGTTAACTGTCAGTTATACCATCTAGGAATATCTGGATTATATAGTTACAGGTCTTTAGTCCTATTATTAATATTAGCATTTTTCCTCCAAACAGATATTACCATTCACCTGGAAGTTTAGGGTCTGTCATGATGATACAGTTTAGTATGTTAACATTGTGACACACTGCAAAGCTCCTAGTTTTCACGCTACACAAGGTGAAATTCTGAAATTCTTTGCTGTCTTTCTAAATTGGGAGCTGTTGCACAGTTAATATTGGGTCAAAAACCAATTTAATTTTCAATATCACTGTACCAAACCCCCTAATTTACAGATACCAATGATACCATAAGGGCTGTTTGTTCTGAATTGGTTTTTTTAATCAGGAAAGCAAGAAGTGCTCTGCTGTGACTAGTAACATACTCAAAATGTTTTCAGCACTTTCTTACACTTAGTTTTTCAAAGCTGGGTTATGGGTTTAGTCAGTCATTGCTGCCTAGGTGAATATTCAGAGCAGTAAGAAGCAGCAGGAGTAGCAAAGTAGTAGCATCCTCTGTTCATCTGGATGCAAAAAGGGTAGGTAAACTATCTGTGATTTTAAACGTGATCTTTAAATACAGGAGTATGCTCATTCTGTACACCTTAACTTCAGAAATGGAAACCAGTGTATTCTTATGGCTATGTCATCAGGAGATCAAAATAGAGTGTAGTAAGCTTTATATCATTATTCCATTCAAATATTGGTATTGTTAAATATTCAAAGATATTAGTGTTCTCATTTTGCTTCTACAGTAAAATGAAAACCTTTAAAAATGCAGGCAAATGGAGCCCCTGTAAAGTCAGTACCACTGCTCTGCCTCGTGCAAATGTCTCTAGTTCAGTCCCCGCTGCTGGCATCAAATAGAAGTCTCCACAGAAGATGAGGATGCTGCAGTCTCCTTATTCACAATGACTGCAGCATATTCATAAAGCATTAATATCACTGAGGTTGTCTGTGATCCTGCAATTTTTTTAGAGAACTAGGATCCTGGTCATAGGATTGTCCCATTTCTAAGAGAGGGAAGGTCACAAATGTGGTTCTCAAGGCATTTAAGTGTTTCAGGGACAGAGATTGCAAAGATGCTGCACTGTATCTTTTCACAGAATATTTTTAGCTATGGAGCCCATGGTTACTGGATTCCAAAAAATCTGGGTATATCCATTTAATCGGTAAGCAGAAGAAAGTGAGGATGAGAGGAAGCTAGCTTTGGGAAAAGTGGTTAAATGTTCCTGTTTGTTAGGAAGACCTACGTCATCAAAGTATGTGCCACTTTGTGGAAATAGAAGGTAATTGTTTTGATCATGTACTTATGGACTGCGGTTTTGTAAAACCAAATGCGTATTCAGAGGATATTTTCACCCTTTTATCACAGCTTTGTGTGTGCCTTACTCCACCCTTCCATGTAAACACCAGAAGTGCCTAGTTTACTTTATGGATGAATAAACTGCAAAATTGTGTTGGGAAAAAGAAAACTCCTGTGAGCTCCGTGACCTAGACATAAAACCATAAAATTCAACTCTGAGTATTTGTGTGGATCCTATCATTTCGGTATTTTTCCCCAGTATGTTCATGACTTGGTGTACCAAGTAGCAGGTTGAATAGGGTTTTTTATTTATTTATTTTTTAATCTCTTGGAAAGACAACAGTTTATAATGGGGACGTAGGCAGAGCTGCTTGTCAGGGTGGGTTAGTGTATGTCCTCCCGTCGGCTGGGGATGGTGGTGAGACTGAGGGAGGGAGACTGCCTCAGCTGGGGCTGAAAGGATGGGCCTGAGCGAGGAGGTGTTCCTGCCCCGAGGTACGGCGTGGAGATTCGGTCAGATAAAGGGAGGAGAGCAGGGGTGAGATGGAGCTGGAAGGGTTGGACTGTATGTGTAACTAGGGTAATGAAATGGGGACTTCTGGCATCAGAACAATTTGCCACGTTCTTATCAATATACAGGCAGGAAGACTACAAAAAAGTACTTGATGCAATAAATAAGAAAGGAGGTATGGTTACCTATGTGCGCTTTACAGGGGAAGATAAGGAGAAATTATATAAATAACCTACATGCGTATGTGTGTATGCGTTTATTTTTAAGATGGCAACAGCTGAAACATGGCGCATCTCTTCTCAGAGAGTACGGTTCAATAAACAAAGCATTTCTGTTTGCGTCACATCTCCAGACACTAGCGCTAAGACTTTGGTTCACTATAGTGATCTTTACATCCAAGCAAGCAAATGCTCCTCTGCACATTTTCTGTCAAGTACTTTGTCTTCCAATCATGTTGTTTTGAAGAGATTGTAAAATAATAATTTTCAAGAATTTAATCTTTGAGTATATCTTCAAAAGCACTTGTGCAGTTTTCCTTAATGTGTTGTTTTGAAGAGGAAGATTTCTGAAGATTTTTTTTTAAATTTGAGTCACCGTTTCTTAAGTATTTTTAAATCTCACTAACTTTTTTGAAAGCAAAAACTATTGAATATTATTCGCTGTAGGTTTTTGACCCATTTGAAGTAATCTATGGGCAGTTAAATCTTAAGTTACCCTCCGATAATGTTCATACCTTTTTTTTATTGCCAGTTAGACATTTTTAACATCTTAAGTGTAATTTTTCCTCCATTCTATTTCTGCTCAGGTAGTCTTTTTGTTAAACCTACAAAATCTAAGTAAACCCCGTTATACTGTACATTCCTATAACCCTTTCTCTGAGCACAAAACTTAATGGGCTGTGACACCTCTCTTGGAGTTACAAATTGTTGTTTTCTCTGCTTGTGAATGACATAAATGGAAATAATGAGTTAAACCAGTTATGATATGTCCACGACGTGGGAAATCTGTGGCATGACACGAGTGCGTTTGCCGTAGCTCATACTGCTAATAAAATGGTTTTGATTAATGAAGACTTTTATTTCTTTGCACATTGCATTAATATTGCAGGTGGGATGAAGTAGTGGCTTAACTTACTTCTGACTCGTGAATTGGAATGGTTATTTGATCTCTTCAAATAAATATGCTGCTGCTATTGATAGATGTTTTTTTTTTCTTTATGTGGGAAGAAGTGAACAGAAATACCTTCTCATTTACACTTCAGGATCTTTTTCCTACTTAAGTATATAGATACATGCCAACTTGTTATAACCCATGCCATGGTGTAGTCTATCTAATGTCATCTGCCTCCTTTATCAGTTCTCTTGTGAGTTTCTCTAAACAGAAAATATTTTTAAAGCTCTTTTTTCTTCACTGTTTCTTTTTTACCTGCAACTCATGACATTTTTCTTACAGAGAACTTCCTGGTTTCATCTCTGTTAATAAAGTTTGGAGCTGTTTTTTGATGGGGGCAGTTCTGTTAAATGCAAGGCAGAAGTGACAAGGCTTCTTTTAGCGACTACTGCTTCTCACAGGAGTAAGCTCTTTTCTCTAGAGGAAAGTGCAAGACTAGCACATCTTTCCTTGTAGAAGACCCTTAAGTTTGATGGATCTGGCAGTGTACTCGGAAAAGAAAAAAAAAAAATCCTGTCTTTTAGATACCAGAATTCTGACGTGGATGCTATTTTTTTTTAATTATTTTAGTAGAAATTGGAAAGATAAATATAAACACTTTAACTCTGTATAATCTATTCAGTATAGATCTGCCTAGACATCAGAAGGATAATGTAAAGCTAAGGCTTTAAAGAGATTTTTAAAAAGATACAATTATCTGTATGATTTTTAAGTCTCATAAGAAATGTATTTTAGAACTTGCCAATGATGGCTCATAATCACTTTGATATTTTGAGGAAAATGGTAGCTTTAAACAGATGATACAGAATTTATTTTTAAAAATGTATTGTGCTTATACAGTTGATGGCTTTTATTTCCATAATGTTTTTTACTACATAATTATACATCTTAATTACGTAATTACCGTCATAATTATTATGTAATTACATGTAGTTCCACTAATTACAAAATCAGGAAGTGTAATTATCTACTAAAAACTTTCTGAAATCTTAGTTGTTCACTAGAGATTATTTAAAAGACCAGTGACCTGCTGAAGACGGTGTACAGTGTTGTACATACTACCATCTCACCTTTTCCCTTTCTTCATGGCCAGTACAGTTTGAGAGGGTTGTGGAAGGGCTTCCGTGTCTTTAATTATGATTTCCTTTAAAATTAGGTTGGAAACCTTGACTGTATTGCCTGCAAATCTGGAGCCTCTTAATTTTTGTCATTCATACCTTGTATCTTTAAAGATTCTGTAGCTGAACTTACAGAAAGTTGCATAGTTTTGGTTAACACCTTTATAACTTTGTTATTTATATTTTGGTTGAGGGTATCTGGTGTCAGCTATGAAGATGTTTGGAAAAGTATTGTTTACGGCCGTGTATATGTGGAGTGCAACCTTGACTCCACCAACGATAGGGGGAATGCCGCTGATTTCTCATGGGCCAAAGATTTCTTGTATTGAGTAAAACTGCTTTTTTTAAAGTTTGTTTTCCCTTACCAATAATACGTTCATGTCTGTATGCTGATCTATTACTTTCTATGGAACATAGTTGTTTACAAAATTTGTCTGTGCAGTTTGAAAACAGAAATGGTGTACTGCATGTTAGAGAAGAGAAAGTTAATATTCAGGACACTTTATATTTCTTTTGTCCTGATTTTTTGTTAAAACTGGGCAGATAGAAACTGTCTTCTATATATTAAATAAGTCATGTGCTACCTTTGGTAGATTCAATGAAAAGAGTATTGTAAAGTGTTAGATTTGTTGATTTTTTTTCATTCTGTACCTCTGTGATATCTCAAAATGACATCAGAAATACAAAGCTTTATTTCGCACTCCTTGTGACAGCAAGCATGCATTTATTATGTCACAGTATTAAAGCAAACCACCAAGGGGAAATGCTTTCAGTGGCAGAAAACAAATTCATGTGAAAGGGATGATGTGAAAAAGTAAGTGATCACAATTTGTGATACTAATAAAGAGGAAGAGAACTGTAATCTCTGTGCCAACAGGGAAATGGAGAAGTAGAAACATGAAGAAAATGAGTTACTGGAATATTGACATTTCTGTGGAACGTCTCAAGACTTCATACCACGTCGCATTTATAATGGTGTGTAATTTTTCTGTGCTCATTACGTAAGGCAACTGTTTTACCGTATACTTGCCAAAAGCTATTGTAAGTTCCCAAACTTGGCCTGAGTCCGCAAGTGATGCGAATCTGTCATCTTCTTAATGGTGAATGCAGTTACCTCAACTCGCATCTGCTAAGCATGCAAATCCTAAGGAGAATTTGTCTCCAAACCAGTTAGAATTATATTGACCTTTAAAAGAAATTATTAGAGTCGTCATTTGCGAACACAGATTGTGAAAACAGGATCCTTATTTGATCCCCAAGAGTTAAATCAATGCTGCAAATAAAATTATTTTAATTATTAAGCTTACTGAAGTATAACCACCCCATGGGAGACATTTCTTTTGGAATATCTTTCTGTATCCTTAACAAACAAAGGGTTATAAATCAAAGACATGATGAAAATACAGTTATGCTCTTTCCTCTGAGAAATGGATGAAGATAAATTCCTCTCTTTATTAAGGACTAGAAGGCCATGTAGAGAGTAGCATAATGGAAAATATTTGGTTTATTCCATAGGGAACACAAAAATGGTGCATGATATATGTATAAAAATGCAGCACAAGACAGAGAAGTGCCTAAATGCAGCTAAAATTTGGTTTATTAAACCAAAAATACTTCCCTTCATAAAGGAGTACTACATTTCTGTCATTGCTCCATCAGAAAAATGTGGTGGTATCAACCACTCCAGATGGACCTGTTTCTGGGGGAGCGGAAATCGAGCACTTGAAGCCACGGGTGTTACTGCCATGAAAATAAAGAGTTCATGAGAAACTGTTTGGAGTACGTATTTTAGAAAACTGTGTGCGAGCACAGCCGCTACCTCTTTGCCTTGCAAGCCATGCCTCCACTTGCGCGGTTCTTGAGTCCCCCTCTCAGCAGAACCACGCTCCTTCCATGGCAAGGAGCGGCTCTACGAGATGCAGAGAGAGAACTATCTTTTTCCAACCACCCCCCCCGCCCCGTTATTTCGAGAATCATTTCTTCATAACAATCCAACTACAAAATTTCATGGGTTAGGCTAGTGTAATTCCATATTGTTCTCTTGAGAACAAATGAGTCTGCTCTGAGAGGCCAAAACGTGGCCCAGCCGTGGGGAGGAACGGCAGCGGGACATCCCTCTGTCCTGGCCGGTCCCTCCGCTGGGAGGGGGCCGGGGGGGGCGCGAGGGGCGGCTGGTCGGGTCACGGAGCTCTTCGTTTGCTGTTACCTAACAGAAATGAGTTTGGAAGAAGTTGATTTGATCCTACCAGGATTACAACTGTCAAATACATATCAAAATGTTTTCCCATCTTATATTATTTAACTCAGAATATAATAATGTAATTATTTTGACATGAAAACGTTACGTACCGTGGTATTTGCACTTATCTTTAAATAGACATTTTTCACTTTTGAGAGACGCATGCAGTAAGACAAAACAAAAAATGAATAAAAAGGTGTGAGTGACAGCCTAAGGTAGTTTATTTAGATGATAAAAACAAATACTATTTGACGTTAATTGAATTGGAATTAAAACATTTAGCTACCTAGAGTATTGTTTTATATTTCTGGTGTAACAATATATGTTGCGTAAACAGCCAGCAGAACATAACAGTAGCACGTTTATCAGATTAATGTTTTTCTTAGAAATTGTGTTACATGATTTTGGAGGAGAGCAAAGAAGCATTAAAGGGAAATTTTAAAGTATGTATTATTTTTATACTGTTCATAAATGATATACATATGTAGTCAGCTTAAATTAGACTTATTTTGATTATTTTTTTTTTTTGCTAGAGCTGAGCCTGTAGTTTAGAACATTCTTAATGAAAAATAGTTAGTGGTGAGTGACCAAAACAAATCTAGGAAACGTACTTTTTAAGAGCATTAGCTACCGTGCCTTTGAACAGTAATGATAAACTATAGTAATCAAGACCTTGATGTGGAAAACTTTTATTTCATACTTTACATTTTGTATTGTACAGGAATCAATGGATTTGAAATTGGTTATCATGCATGCAATTTCGTGATAACTGGACACATAATTCAGTTGTTTCAAGTATTACGTAATGTAGGAAGTCAAAAGTGTAGCTTCGTGGTTGGAAGCAAGTGTGTCCATAATTTTGCAAGAGCAGCAGATGTTGGAACATAAAATGCGTGCATTCTGTAAGCACAAGTGCTGCCATTCTTCTAGTAGTTTCACTTAGAGAGAAAGAAAGAAAAAGAGGTTCTTATCTGAAGGTTTAGTTTCTGAAAAATCTGCATGCAAGTTTAAAAGCAGTATTTCTATGTGTTCCGTTTCTGTTCTCCAGAGATTTATCAGCTGTTTCCCAGTTTAAGCCATACTTCAGACACCACAGTGATGCAAGCAGCCGTAAAGGAGACCTGGTTATAAGGGCACAGCAAAAAAATATTTTCTCAGTGTTTCTAGAAAAGGGAAACTGTGGACTTACTCAGAAATGACAGTGAAGTGTACATGCCTTTTTGAACTTCTGAATATGATCTGAAGTCTCTGCTTCATTTTGGTTTTATTTTATTACTGTGGCAAGTTTTAAACACAAGAAGTATCCAGTGAGGAGTTCCTGTTTAGACAGAACACACATTTTGTTTCAGTATTTAGTCCATTAACGTATTAGCACGCCTGTGTTTTCTGGTCAGTAACAAAAAGGATCCTTTTCGTTCTCGTATGGCGTTTGACACTTGCAATTTTTGATGCATACCTATATTCTCTGTCCTACCAGGTGATATGGATGCTGTGCTGAGCACCGGGTGTAGGTAACCCAGCGGGCGGGGTTTTAAGCTGTCCCTCCAGCACCCACTGTCGCCTGTGGCCACTGTGGGTTTCGAGGCAGGGGTGAGGAGGCTGGCTCCTTCTCTCTTCGCTCCTCCGTTTCCAGGTCTCTCTGCTGCCCTGGCAAAAACCCGCTCGCTCTCACTCACGTACATCCTGGGTTTGCTCAGC